AGTTGGTCGTGTTTGTCCTGGAGCTCTTGCTTCTGCGCTTTTTCTCGGCCACACGTAGCTTCCAGGTCGTTCTCGGTCTTCTCCAGCGAGACTTTCAAGACGTCATTTTCGAACGTGGCCGCGGCAAACTGGCTCTGCAAGCTGTCCACTTGAGCCAATAGTTCGTTTAGTTGGTCGTGTTTGTTCTGGAGCTCTTGCTTCAGCGCTTTTTCTCGGCCACATGCATCCTCAAGGTCGCTCTCGGTCTTCTCCAGCGAGACTTTCAAGGCGTCATTTTCGGACGTGGCCGCGGCAAACTGGCTCTGCAAGCAGTCCACTTGAGCTAATAGTAAGTTGAGTTGGTCGTGTTTGTCTTGGAGCACTTGCTTCAGCGCTTTTTCTCGGCCACATGAATCCTCAAGGTCGCTCTCGGTCTTCTTCAGCGAGACCACCAAGGTGGTGTTCGTCGTGTGTAGTTTTGCATTTGCCTCTTCCAGATCCTATGTATCGCATGAAACGGAGTTTTTTGGAGAATGAAGTTCAGTGAAGTATTACCGAATTCTTCGCCACCTCGAGGTCCACAAGTTCCTGTGTCATTTGATACTTTAGAGACGATTGTACTTCTTGTGCTGCTAATTGGGCAATGTTGGCCTTGCACTCAGCCAGCTCCGACTCAAGTTGGAAACACTGGTTTTGCAGAGACGAGGTCAAGTCTTTTGAAGTGGACAATTCGATGGCCAGCGCAGCATTTTTAGCCTTCTCACGGTCAATGTCACTGCGCAAAGAGATGTTATCGCGCTCCAATCGGGCCACGTGTGCCTTGCGGAACAGAGACAAAAAGCAAAAACGCCCTTTGACCCAATTCCGAATCAAATTCCATCGCTCGGTCGTTTTCTGATGTTGGCGCAACGCCAAATACTCTTTCGTGGCCAGTACGCGGCGCATCTATGTATCCATAGGCACATTTTGTTGAGTCCACGCGGCAGAGTGCATGGGACTTACGTGGGATTGAATTTTGACACATGCCCGTTTCTCGCGAACCTTCTCGAGCAACGACAGGAAAGCTCTCTTGGCCAAGTACGACATGCACGCTGCCTTGCCAAGTTTTTTCACGTACATGCTGCGTTCAAGTGGTCCCAGCCACGTGAGAAGCCATTTTTTCTTGGACGGCATGTCCTTTTGTCGCAGCAATGTCTGAAGGAACACCAATTTGTCGTCGACGCTGTTTTCGAACGCATGCTGGACCCACACTTTCGAGCACAGCGCATTCCACGCTTTAGACACTCGAATTTGGGTTCGCATTTTCTTGACCAGCTTGGTCGCAAGGATTTGGCGAAACCAGCACTGCAGCACCAACGCGCGACGAGCTAGCTGGACGCGGAGGAAAATCTTTTCAAACAGGCGCTGGACGACGACTTTGGTGACTGCCGTGATCCACCGACGCTTGACAGTGTACTGCAGCAAGCGTGTCTCCAATTCCTCGGTGTCCAACTTGGGCGTCACGTTCAGGACGGTGTCAAGCAAGTGAATCTTTCCCGTCTTGAAGAAGAGCTTCGTGTCACCCAACCGATAGTCGTCAGTGGGAAATTCCAACACGTAGCACAGGGCACGCGCAAAGAGACGTCCGTTGTCGTGGAATTGTACCATAAAGTCCATCCCGAGGAGATGAATGTACGTGTCAATCAGTTCTTCGTACGAAACGCGCGTGGGAAGTCCAACTTGGAGCACTTGGCAAGCTTGGACGGTCCCGGAGCAGCGTAGTTGCTGGACAACACTCGGGCGGTTGAAGATTTTGGGGTCCATTGTGGCGTTCGGCTTGATGCACCGAATGAAGTTGCTCCGCGTCGACTCCAATTCCACTGCCAAACCCTTCATCTGCTGGGAGAAGATTTGGGTCACGCTGCCTGCAGGCTTGTTCGCGGGCCCAACTCCACGACGGCGGTTGTTGGACGCATCGACGGGGCGATTCAACGGGGTTTTGAGAATTTTCAGTGACGAGCTCTGCATCAGTTCGTCGAATTGAGTCGACGCCACGTTGTTGTTCTTATCCAGAAATGACGTGATGTTGTAGCGCACAGTGCCTGCAAAGTGCTTGATGATAAAGGTGTGCTTGGCGTCGCGGGGGTGGGGTTCAATGAAGCTATATCCAAGTGAGAATGGTAGTGATCGGGGGAAGGACAGACACAAACGTACGTACCAAGGGTGTTGTGAAAACAGCTTGCGGAACGTTTCGTTGAGCTTTCGATCGGACGGCCCAGCAAGCTTCCCGACCGTATCGATAATAGAGAACATGCCTTCGTTCTTGGCCGCAATAAGGTTCAGACAATCTTTGTTGTCGTCATATTGCACGACCAGGTGCTTGGACTTGATCGCTGAATCGTTCGAGTGGTCGTTCATCGCAGGTGGGAAGATCGGGAATCGGAGGGCCGCGTTTTGGGGGGCAAAAATGTTTTCCAAATGGTACAGCTCGAACTCGTTCTTGAGAATGCACTGGTTGAACATGTTTTGGAGCGTCTCGTTCGCGTAGTTGATCATTAACTGTTCGAGCGAGTTGCGGTTGTTCGGCTCAAAATCCTCAAACCCGAAAATGTCAAGCACTCCAATATACGGCAGCTCGTCCTTCTTTTCCACGTTGAACTCGAGCGCGTTCGCGCACTGCATCATAAGGAACCCAAAGACCTTAACAGCAAGCACTGCGTCAACCCACAATAGTACAACGCTTTAAGTACCTGGTCGTAGATCGTCTTGGCAATCGTGTCGCGGGAATAGCTGGCTTGACGTGTGTCCTTCTTCAAAAAAAAGACAGACGCTGCACGCTGCAAACTAGGACGTCCACCACCAGAATCACCTACGACTTCGTTGGCCATGCGACTGATCTTTTTCTTTAGAATTGCATCCATCAACGTGTCGGGATCAAGCCCAAGCAACTCTGCCGCGACGTCGAGGGGACCAGTCTGCGCAGGATCGTGCTGGTTCAAAGTCGCCGTCGTGCCTTCTTGAGTGTCCTCTTCGTCGAACGTCAAGTTGCCCAAGTGCAACAACCCCGACACGACACGGAAAAGTTCGTCCGAATCGATATTGACGTACTCCAGCGCGTCAACGAGTTTTTGAAAATTCGCCTTGTCTTGGACAAACTCGCTCGTCCAGCATGCTGACCGGTTCAAGTAGTTGTATTGGGCAATACAGTCGTCGATGGTCAGTTCGCCCTTCGAGGACTTTTCTGGGGCTGGCAAGTACGGGTTTGGGACTAACTTGAGTTCGTTCAAGTATTTGGCGTCGCCGGATTGTAGGAGTTCGTAAAACACGTGAAAGTTACGCTCGCCCGCTGGTGTTTGGACCAATCGCGATGTTTCGAGCAAGTATGTATCGATGGACGCGCCGGAGAGATGCAAGTCCGTGCCGGACGGCATCTTGGTGAATTGCAGACGCATGTACTTGCCAAATCGACTTGAGTTGTGGTTGCGGTGGGTTTTGGCGTTCCCAAAGGATTCCAAAATTGGGATCGTTTCCATAAGGCGGTCGCCCAGAGCGTGCTCTCGCTCGGCGTCTTGGTTGTTGACCGTATTCGCCATGCTGATTTGGCTCATTTCGTCTTGGTTCGATTGGAATCCAGGAGCCGTGGGGTAGACGTCGGAGCTGGCGATCGTGGAGCGGTCCGTCAAATAGTTCAAGATGATCTTGGACGTTTCTGTCTTGCCGGATCCGCTTTCTCCGCTGATCACAATGGATTGGTTTTGCTTCACGGACCGCATTTGACGGTAAGCGTTCTTCATGCATCGTGTTGTCAGAATTCTGTTCATGGAGGGAAGCTAGTGTACGTACTTCGGCAATGTGGAAAGGATGCGGGGGACTCTTGTCGAGGGATTGATGCACGAACGGGAGCTTATCGACTACAGGCAAGCGACGCAATGGATTGACGGCAATGAGGATGTTGGACACGCGAGTGTACGGTTGGCAGTCGTTCTGGTTCCATCGATCAAACACGTTCTTCACTAGCGACGGTTCATTCATGTGTCGCAACGACGTCATGTCAGGGTACGTCCTACAGGCAACGATCCATCAGAATGCAGTGCACTTGTGCATCGTCGTGGACCTACGTAAACAAGGGATTCGCCGGGACGAGCGACTCGGTAGAAAGATGGACGGTGTCCGGTTCATTCGGCAAGACGTCGCCAGAATCCTCGTCCACGAACTCAAACAACGCAACAGACTTGTCGGCATTCACGTCAGCGAGGCGGCCAAGCACCCATTCTGTGTCGCCCGCCTTCTTCCAGTACAGGGCACCTGCGGCGAACGGAAGCGCCATCACCACCGACCGAATTGAGAGTGATTTGCAATATCCCCCACCGCAAGATGGACAAATCTCAGCGTCGCACTTTACCGAGTTCCGCGTTTCTGATTGGCTCAAGGAGTCTTGCACCAGCCAATAGCTTTTGCGATTTCAAACGGGAAAAAAGGACAGTTGAGGCAGCGAGGCGGCGGATCATGCAGACACGGCACAAAAGGACATCGTTCCAACCGAGTCGCACTGCGATCGCGGCGAACGAGACGGTGGATAAGGTAGACGCAATGGAAGAGTGCTGGGAAGCCACGACCTGTTTGCTGCTCGTGGTGCGACCTGCACAGTAGATACTCGACACGATATTGTTATGGAGAAAGTAGCAAGGACATTAGGAAACACCTAGTCAAGTGTATGTGTACCGCACCCATCGCGTGGCTCTGCGTCGCCCCCTTCATGGTATTTGAGGAAGGAGGTGTTCATGGTTCATGCAGGCGGATTCGACCGACGTGATGCGCGAACGGGTCCTGTGCTCGCAAGCTTGTACAATCTCGAAGTTGTGTGCAATCCGTGCGATCCATTGAACGGTTCCACGAGGAGTAGTCTGGACGACAACAAGCGAGGCGAGTGCGAGATTGCCAAGATCGCACCATGCCATTTCGATGGAGGTCAAGTGGCGCCGCTGCGGATAGTGTGGGATGTTGGAGGGATCATGCCACCGCAGTGCACGAAAAGTTCAGAAATTAGCTGCTGGACCGATAGGTATTCTAGATCCTCCCTGTACGCTATGGTGGGGTTCCAGCTTCCGATCCAGAATCGTCGGCGCTGCCGTCCGAGAGGGGGTCGAAACTCGAGAACGCGCGAATGTTGCGAGGCACGGAAGGGTCATCCACGACGTTCGACGACGGGGGGAGCTCGCCCCTAGCCATTCGTAATGTATTACTGGCAGTCGGTCGCTTTACCAGCGAGTTTGCAAAACTACTTTCCGGAGTCTTCGATTTATATTTTGGTTTCGAATGGCTTGCATTTCGAGCAAGTGGACCGGGTTCCCTTGGCCATTGTGGGGGGTTGCAAAAATGTGGGCCGGACGTTCGTCCCCACTGGAGGGCGACACCAATCCCTGAAGGTCACTCGCTACGCTGAGCTCGTTCAAGCGGAGTTGGCAGCGGAGATCGAGGATTGCTGCGTCTTTTTCTGCAATCGTTTGCTTCAACTGAGCCTACTCATGACGTTAAACGTGAATGACGACGTCAACTTACAATCAATTCTTTCGCGAGGGATTCGTTGACACTCTGCTCGTGCTTGACTTCGAGCAGCTTGAGCTTGGCCTCCAATGCCTCGACTTTGTCGTTGTTCATGTCCAGGCGATGCTCCAATTCTTGACGAGAGTTCGGCGACAACGACGAGCCGACAGAGGGCACCGAGATGAACACGGTTTGGACATTCGGATGCAAGGCAGGCCCAACATGCATGGGGGTCAAGAACCTGCGATGGTCGGACACAACAGTCGTCGTCGGCGCCTTCAATGGAAGAGTCTTCGGCCAGTCGTACACAACGACGTCGCTCGAAATCGTCGATGGATCGCCATGTCCCTTGATTTCCTGTAATAGCGTCTTGAGACTTTTGCCATGGACCAGCACGGTGACGAACCGTCAATGGATGCTCCT